TTTGTTTTGTCATTTATGTATTTAGATGCTTTAGCAACTCACTGGGGACAGCAGAGGAAAATTATAAAACTAATTATAGCCAAATCTTGCACATTTACAAGGCACAGCCAAGCACTAATGTTAAACAACATGCACAATCGCTTTTTGATACAATAAACAGAAATATAAGCTCAGGAGTAAGTGCTGGATTTTTTTGTTTTGCAATTTTGATTTCAACGCTGTAGCTTTTTCAATAGTTGAAGTTCTTTAAAATGTTTGCACAGATGTATAATATGACAGAGGCGAACAAGAGATTTTGGTCAGCAGTTAATAGATTGTATTTTGATTTTGAATACAAAATGATATGTAAACAGTGACGCCTCATAAAAAGCGATAAAAGCTAAAGACTGGATGTTATTTAAGATCTCCCTCACCTCTATAACGTGCTTCTTGCTGGACTTGTCTTTGGAAGCCCATTCCACTGAGCCGCCCTTCAGATCCACTGTGAACTCTGGTTTCGACTGACCGCCTCCAAACTGGACAGAGACAGAAAAACAATCATATTAACAAACAGAGGGCCTGCTTATATACAGTGGTCTCCTTTTTCTTTGATTGTTGAACCATGCAACAGCTCACATCAAAGAAAAGAAAAAGTCAAATGATAATGGTGCGCACGTCAGTCAAGTTTCTGCCCAACTGTAAAATTTTCTTAGCTTTTAAAGTTTGAGGAAGAAAACAGAAGAATAGTTTCAGTCGAGGCCAAACACTTAATGTATTTTCAGCTTTTTCCTTGCAAGTGTATTAGATGTGGTCGTCCTAGTTGCCTACTCAGTGCTCTGCTGCCTAATTTACTGCTGAAAACAAAGGCTTAAATATGCACTTCCCTTCAAAGGAAGACAAGAAATAACATTTAAAATGTCCAACTGCCTTTATGATAGAGTAAAGTGCCCATCACCACCTAAATCAGTACTAGGGACTCATTGTAATTGCACACACTTTACTTCAGTATTTTCTTTTCTTGCCACACCAGGTGCCTTCACCCTTCAGACAATCAGATGACGAGACTGATGAGACTTTTTGATAGTACAGTTAAAAAAACAATCAAAACAATAAGAAAAACAAACAAACAAACAAAAAAAACATGCATTTGATCCAAATTCACATGCATATAAAATGTAACTCCAGTGATTGATCTGAAGTCTTCCTGTGTGCTAAACAAAAACAAAAAAATGACAAAATCCACCTTTCTATAGCACTCGTTTCACATCAGGAGCTCATAAACCAAAGGCAGTCCAGAAAAGACTGGTTTGCACAACTACATCTAAAACTCAAGGTGATCCTGCTTGTGTGTGAAATCAATAATTGTGATGCCCTGCAGATCTCCATCCCAGTTTTCCATTTCTAACCAAACAACTCTATGATTAAATTAAATCTACATCCTGTTTGTCAACTCAAACAGTAAAAATACATCAAGTCAACCCAGAGATTAGCAAGTAATGACAGCAATATTGTCCCTTTTTTTCATGCCAGTGAATATTAGTCAGAGCATGACAGACAGCAGGAAGATGGCATGCAGAGAAGTAGGAAGAGTTGGAAGCACGCATAAGGAAGGAGGAAGAACATACAGAGGAGGCTCGGTTGAGCCTTGAGCAGCCAAAGGAGACATCAGGTCGTTTCTTAGCTGACGGCCTCCAGTTACTCAACAGTGACAGGAGCAATTCAGGGAAGTAGCCACTCTGATAGTATGGCTGAACAGAGGGATGGAGGGAGGAATGAAAGAAAAGGATGATGGGAGGATGAGGCCAAAGGTAAAGAGATGGAGGCATGGAAAGAAAAGGACACATACAGAAGAGAGAATATTCAACTCCCCCTCAGTGACCTAACAAACAGCCTGAAAAATGTTGTGCAAATTTTGAAGAGATGGGGTTTATATAATAACCCCAGATGCAGGGGAATAAGTACAGAATACAGATTATGAAGCAACACTTGACAACAAGGAGAAAAGATGAACATAAATGTTAACAGGAGGCATGCTTAATTAATTCAGAAGTTTAACCCGTCACCGAGTTTCTTAACCACCAGCTAACTATATCCAACAGGAAAGGGAACAGTTAGCAGCCAGGCTGCCCTTGAGACCGAGATAACAGAAATCAGATAGTCATCCAATTCAAAAGCTTAAATGCACACAGTGTTTCTTAACACTCCTACATCTGCCCTTCAGATCAAAGGAACTGACCTGCACTATAAATAAGCAGAACGACCTTTCCACTGAGATTGACCTTTTTCAGGCCTCACTGAGTTAGTGAGACTTCACCAAAAGGAGAGGTTACCTCCAAAATATTCCATAATGTATGAAGTTATGTTATGTTATTAAGTTATATAATGAAAAGTACACTGCTGCGCATACATCTAATCATGAAAGTCGGTGTTCGATACAGGCTGTGTCAGAAGTGTAAGAAAGTGAACTCAGATGACAAAGTCACTGAAGGAGGTCTTTCAATGCAACAGAGCAGCAGAGCCAGATTAGTAGCTCTTTTCAATGGTCTTTAATGTTCACAAAACAGTGTGTGGCTCTGTTTTGATACGAAACGACAGCTTTTAATGGCAGCAAGTTTCTATCACTCACCCAGCTAGTTCCACCTCCCTGTCCTTTGGCAAACAGGAGCGTTGAACCTTGGAGGACGGTCCAGGAAGAAGTCCAGTTCTTCCTGTAATGGATGTAAATAATAATAATAATATTAGTAACAAAAAAAAACATACTTCATGTACTTTAAACATGTGCTGAGATTAGAGACAACTACATCATGTACATGCAAGACAGAAAAGAATTCAAAGTTGCCCTTTGAACTGGAGAAACATTCACGGGATCATTTCTATCGTTAATTTACTGAGAGTACTTAACTGCCTCCTTTTTTGTTTTTCAATCTTTTTGTCCTCTACTCATCCGACAGGGTAAAAGACAGACATAGTAACTTTAACATCACCCACAAGTTTATGAAGTCAAGTTTTAAAGTCTTGAGATAAGCATCGTTGCCATCAGCATCGCCGTCTTGCTTTTGAAGCGAATGTAATGAACAAGCAGTGGGTCTAACTGTGAAACACTGGCCAGTGACTTGCCCATCAGAAACCGAGTAGTATAACCTGGATACGTCCTTTCTGACCCTTAGAATGACCAGCATGTACCAAACAGACTTCAGTATAACCCGAGAGGAGTGACTGAGGACATTAAATCATCTGGTATCTCGTATACTTCGATAGGATCTTAAGTCTTTTTGCAGCCTTTTATTAGCTGTCCTCCTTGTGACTAATAAAAAGAATACAGGTTCAGGTTCTTCTACATTTGCTTCACTTTTCATAGAAAGAAGCTACGTCCATTTAATTAATTTTTTTTCTAATGGCGTCTATAGCCTGTATTTCAACTGGTGTAACAAAATAATTTCCAAAATATTGGAAAAACAGTATCTTGTGTCATGCTGCATTGTTTGGAATTTATAAAAAAAAAGAAAAAGTAATGACAGCATGCATTAATTTTGAAGTCACTCAGTTTATCATTACAAAGAAACCCTAATGTGGTAAATAAAAGAAAAAAAAATAAAACATGACAGCACATCTGCATGGGCTAAACGCATTACATCAGCGTCGCATAGCAGGCTGTGATACTCATATTCATTTGGGAAGAAGTTCAAAAAAGCTTCTAAGATAGACTACCGTGCCCTGGATGACTCAGAACCTACACAGACAGGCTGTGAAATATTTGACAGTAAAGAGATGTCCTAGCAGCAGGATGGTGTCCAGAGACTACAGAACGTCAAACATTCAATAATGATGGGCAAAATAACCTCTGCTGAGCAGGTAGGTCCTTTATTCAACTTCCTCTCACAAAAAGTGAGAGCAAAGGATACCGCTGATTGACATTACAGGGCTGGTAAATACTTTCAAGGGTTACCTAGGCAACTGGAGTCTGACCAACCCATCAGCCACAAAGTACTACATAAGTTAATTGTTTCCAGTGTGGACCCTCTTTGAGAAGGCAGATTAATTTGGACAAATTGTGGCCTTTTTTTAACAACACAATGATTCCTGGTGCAACTTACAGGGAAATGTGCAAAAAAGCATTTGTTATTATTTTTTAAATCATGAGGGGACTAGCCTAATAAGAGAGACCCTCTGCTGTGCTGATAATAATACTGAGTCAGTATTACTCACTGGGGTTGGATTTTCTCTATAGTTCAATTGTCCTATCATCCCCCTGCGGCACTGCTGCCATGGCGGCAGAGAAGGTCAATGTACACCTAATAAGAGTAGTGATATCCAGCCTCCATAATGCACAACGTGTAAGTGACAAACAGGAGCGCCGGGTGTTATGAAACATTTACACACTGACAAACAGTACAATGTTGACTGATTTGGCTGACCACGATTATTTGATGTAGTGGTAGAGATATCAGCTGAAGAGCTAAAATGGTGTTAAGTCACAACATTAGCTGGTTCTGTAGTTTAGTTCTACTAAATAATTCAGTTTTTTTCACTGTGTAAAATATTTCACTTGTCTCTCCTGCAGTCTTCATTGCACCATCATCACACACAGCAGAGTTGTTCACCAACAAAAATAAAGGAGACGAGTTAAACGAGTACCTCTGCAAATACATTGTCGCCTGAAGCTCCATTTAAAAAGCAAATAAATAAATCCAACAGTCATAAATAGGCATCAGCTTTTTCACACATACTAAAGGACTGAAAAGTCCAGGTAGGAACCCGTTTACATGTGAGCCCATCTGAGCTACAGGGGTGGGTCAGATCAGCCACTAACCAGAAGGTCGGTGGTTCGATCCCAGGCTGCTCCTGCCTGCATGCCAAATATCCTTGGGCAAGATACTAACCCCATGTTGCAATCCATCGGAGTGTGAATGTGTATGAATGTTACTTAGAAAGCACCTAGAAAAATGTGCTGGTGTGAATGTGTGAATGCACAAGTTGTGTAAAGTGCTTTGAGTGCTCAGAAGAGTAGAAAAGCGCTATATAAGAACCAGTCCATTTACCATCTGTGTCACAAATGTTGGTTATATGTGGAGACATGACCTGAAACTATGGCGAGGCAGCTTCAGTTTATTTTTAATCTTATATAATGAAATTCATTTATGGGGAATGGAGAAATTGACTGGCAAACTCATCAATCCCTTTAACCATAATCATCATGCTACTTACTACTACTTACCGCACTTTCTTGCCATTTTCAGTGATCTTTGTCACATTCAGAATTCCACATTTTTCAGATGGCTGCAGAGGGGGGAAAAATGAATGCACAGTTTTAACATTGATTAATTTTGATAATTCCCACAAAAAGAGACAGAGAGAGATGCTGTTTAATCTTGGTTGCTACTGCTGTATAAAAACACCACCACCGCCACCACCAAATATCCCACCACCAGAATAATAACAGCCTTCAGCTTGGAGGCAAAAAATCCAAAAAACTACTATACCACTTTTCTGAAAGGCAGAATTCACACACTGAATTAGAATAAACTAACGTTAAAACTACTTGTGCAACATCCAGACAAACAAGGTGATTTTTGGTGAATTAACCAACTCAGGAAAACAATTTCTGACAATATAAACACTTCTGTGTGATTAACCAAGGTCAAGAAATGCTTTTATAATCCACAGTGCTGCTTATTAACAGGATTTCCTACACAGGTTTAAGGTATTTGTTCAATTGGACTTTAGTTTTCCTTCAGGATGTTGAGCTTCTTTTATTTAACTGGGACAAAGACCTGTGCAGGAAACCTGCCATACAACATGTGTCACCATCCAACAATCTGAGACCACGTTAAATCCCTGCAGGAGGTGAAGAAGGTGAGGTTAGTGGTGAGTACTAACAGAGGCGGGGGGCTTGGGAGACGAAGGGCAGGAGTCAGAGTCAGGAGAGGGGGGCTTGAGACCCAAAGGAGCGTCCTGGTCAGGAGACAGGGATGAAAAAAAGAAACAATGTCAAATGGGCTAACAAAAGAAGGTTAATGAGAAAATGATGCAAGGTTAAGGAGACACGGACAACTGAAAGAGGGTGATGGTAATTAGCAGTGAGATTATAATGTGTGTCTAGTACCTGTGTGTTTTCCAGGAGACACAAAAGGATTATTAATTAAGATGCGGATGCAACTACAGTTTCTATGAGGTTTCATGCAGCTATAACTACTTCACGTTCAGGCTAATCGGTACATTTTAAAGACAATCATCCAACATTGCTGCAAAAGTCCAGCTTGTGATTAATACAAATTATTTAAATTAAAAATAAAATCAACTGAGAGTTAGAAAGGAGGTTTAATAATCACTCCGGTTGTGTGATTACGGTCATGCAGGCTGAAGGAACAGACACTGACTTGGTGTTTGTATGGATGTGGGCGTGCAGAGCCTGATCGGAAACGCCTGGTTTTTAACAGCCGCTGCAAAGAAATCAGTCTACAACTGAAAATCTCTTAACTCAACAAATATCTCAGTCTATTTTTAAATCCTGGCGAGGCAGGAAACCTTAAGGATAAGTAAGGTGCATGAGGCTAATAGTACAATTTGTTGTATAGGGGTGTCAGACCTTGTCAACTGGGTCCTGGACGTAGGCACTATGTCTCCACTTGGTCAGGACGATGGGATCCACATTTCTTCTGTCTAGACTGCGGGTCTTTGGAGCATCCCCAGAGGGTTGGGGAGGGGAGTGGTTGTACTTCATTGAAGAAACAAAGAATTGCATGACTTCAGTATAGCCATAAAACCATCTTTTCCTTAACAAAAAGAAAAAAAAAGCCCTTGCAATAATATATTAAATTATTAGGTGCAGTAGAGGTGTCGCAACTATTCTCTAGTTATCTCTTGTCGCATTGAAATATGAAGCTTTACCGCCCCATCACGTGTGGTCCATCCCGTGCGATTGTGCAGCACGTACACTGTGCTCACCTGTACGACACGTCAGTACGCCATTAATTCTCATCGCTCGACTGTTTTAGCGTCTCACCTTTGGCAGCTCCCATTCTGACCTGGAGCCGTCTGCACTGTAGTAATAAGGTCTTCCCTGGTCATCAACGTGCTTTAACCACTGAGCAGACACACCGGAGAAAAATCATTCAGTGGTTTGAATCCTAAAAATGTATTTTATTTATATATTAATTTTCAGCCTTCTGTTATATTGTCTTGACTGAGATTTTATTAATTTATTTTCTGAGTAGATTTGACCTAATTGGGTTTCCTTTTAGTTACACATAAAAGCCATTAAAACAAATTATGACAATAAGAAAATAATAGGTAAAAGTGTGTATAGTTTGGTATCATCATAGTTTCCTTGTTAACAGGAAACATTTGTGCTGTGCCCCCCAAGCAGAACTTTCCTGCAAATCAAATCAAAACCTGCTCCCACGTGCAGTCCCAGAAACCCCCCTGCAGTAAAGACAGATTGGAGCGGTGCAGCCGGTACCTTCTCGTTAGTATAGTCACTGACGTACAGCGTGTGACCGTACTCGTCCATCTCCTCGGACCAACCACGTGGCGGCGAGCCATATTGGCTGTCTGACTGGCTAGAGTAGGTGGAGTAGGTACTGAAGCAGGTGTCCTCCGATGACAGAGGCTGCAGTCGACCGATAGAAAGCGAGAGAAAGGGGAGGAAAGACGGCGAGAGCGAGAGAGGGGTGGTCTGCCATTTGTTTAAAAAGAGAAAGAGACAGGAGAGGGCAAATTTCACCACAGCGTTGGAGAGAAGAAAAGACAGTCATGCACCCAGAAACAATAAATCATCAGCAAAACACCCAACACCAGTTTGATTCAGTACAGAGACCCAGAAACGTCAACAGAGCGCTAAAAATGTTCATGCTTGATTTTGGCCAGTGATGAAGGCAGCTCCTGCACTGTGGCACAGAACAGATGAGGGGACAGTGCCTGCTTTGGGCCTGCAGGTGGCAGTGTGGTGCAGTCATTTAATGAAACAGAGGCTGAGTCAGTATTAGAGATGACTCAGGGGTATGTGGTAAGTCACTAGTGCGTTTATGTGTGTGAGCTGATTATAAAAATAGTCATTCACTGTTGATCAGCTGTAGTCATCTCATTTGAACTGAAATACAGCATTGTGGACTTTTACTCATAGCTTTTCGAGGACAAATCATTCTGTTGTTCCGTCAGAAAGACAACAAGAACTTTCATTATCTCCGAGATATATTCTGTCTGATAATCCAAATCTCCCAAAACAATCTGGCGGGGCTGAAAGAGCAATTTTGCAGTTGCCTCCATCTGTCTACGCGTATAGCAATGTGAGTGAGAAGACAGCCACAATATGTGATGAAGTACTGCCACGGCATATTTGTTTTCAGTTTAATATTTGTCTCTGACTCATGCTCTGACGCTGGGTGAGTATATATGAACAACTTCTGTGTACAAGCGGGTTTATGTAACTGTGTGCTTGTGAGAACCAGTTTGACTTTGTCAACATTTTTGCAACATCAGGTAATTGATGGCTCACCTGTTCGAAGGTTTAACAGTAACATTTCCAAGTTCATGTTGTTATAAAAATTGATGCGATAACAATTGGGAATTAATTTAGATTAAAGGATTTAATAAAATATAAACTTTGTCAGAAGAGCAGTATAAAGGCTGGCTGCACCTGCTTTATTTTAATGCTTATTTAAAAGGGACAGTGCATATTAATTATGCAGTGATTGATCAGAGGCTTACATGTGTGGAAAAAAAAGAAAAGGACCGGACCCTTTATGATCTCTACTTTGCACTTCTCATATTCTTACAGCCTGCATTTTTACCTGACTTGTAGACTGCTGTCTACTATGTTTCTGCTGATTTTCAAGATAAAATACCTAAAATGAAAAAAAGTATTGATTTCTGTAATGTTTGTAACAGCCATCTAAAGCATTTTTACAGGGATGGGCAGTTTCACGTCACTTTTATGTGCTCTTGCTGGGTGTTAAACAATTTGAACTTGCTCCAAACATTTTGATCATCTTACAGGCTTACTCATAGTCCAAGCAGCTGCTTATATTTCTATTTGTTACTGTTTACCAAAATATCTATGGTTACAAAAGTGTCATATATTGCATTTACAAATCAGACTGGATTCAGTGAAACTGCTGCACATTTCACAGCGACACAACTCATTATTAAAATGTATTGTTATCCATCATTTCACATATTAAGCATTTAAAATGATGTAGATAAATATATCATCTGTAAATATAATTTGGTAGTTTGAGACTGTCTCCATGTCCAACACAAACTGTATTGATTCATTTCTTAGCATTAACTTGTACTGTCTACTTTTCATTCTAATTTGATGACTTGACTGTGACCCAGCTCACAGTCACTCCATGTTTTCATGCCTCAGTTTCTTATTTTTCTCAGAGAGCCGATCCTCAGATTTCTGCACAACCACCATGGAAATGCAGTAACGACACTGACATGCACAGAGGTGCCTGCATGAAAGGACCCACTCTGTGAGATGTGTACCATAAAATGGTTTCTTTGATATTAGGGGGGAAAAAAAGTCTAATGTTATGTCACTGCTTGTTAAAACTCAAAGTAATGCATCCTGATGCTAGGGCACATGGCTCAGGAAAAGGCAACCCAAAAGTGTTGCCAATGCTCGCGATACTTCACGAACCTCCACTACGGTAAATTGCGTTTACCTCTGAGCTCTCTCCGGTGCTGTGGCTCTCTCCTTGCAAGTTTCTGGTGCTATTGTCCCTGGTTCGAGGTGGCTTCCAGGTCCTCTCCTGGGTGGCGCGATTGTAGTAGAAGTGCCTACCATTCTGGTCCTTATGGGTCTCCCATTCTCCAACCACATGGAGCGGGGAGCCAGAGGGCAGAGGGGGCTGGGTAGACTGGGTGATCTTCAGTTCCTGGAGGTTGCTGTAGACGGGTGACTCGGGGCGGCCCTGGCCAGAAGACACAGTCTAAGGAAGGGAAAAAAGAAAGAGGGAACTGTGATTCATCTGTGACTCATCTGTGACCGGATGTTACATAAAAGTTCCTGGACAGTGAATGAAAGGGCATGATGTAAAATATTCACAGCTTTCAGGCTGTAAATCACCAGCTGCACGCACAAGCTGGTAGACATTTTCATTTGAAACCTTTTAGAACGGCACGTACATCAAACAGCTCACCCCCACACTCCATTCCTACAGAGTTTCACATGAAGTCAATCATTTAATCTTCACAGTAGATTTGAGGTTTACTCTACTCTCTCAGCTGCACTGGAGCATTGAGTGACTGACTAAAGTCAGAGAGAAATTACAAGCTCTACTTCAAGGCTTTGTGAGCCGTGGAGGAGCAGATCATTGAATGAACTTGGAGAAGGACAAGGGAAGGAAGTTGCTGCTGTTATACAACCGGGAGTGCCAATAACCCATGTCAGGTAGAAAAGAGGAAGTTAAACTAGCTCAAGATGCATCCTAAACACTGGGATGAGAGTTTGTCCAACCTCATCTGAACAACTCTGAACACAGAAAAGGACTGTTACTGGTTACTGGCAAACCCTAATGTGTTGATTGACATTTTTACTTAAAAACTAACTGGATAACTGCTAACGATAGGAATTCCTTTTTAACTTGCATTGTCCCCCCCGTACACATCATTCAGAAGAAGTTTCTGCAGACAGTGAAAAATGATACTGGCTGGACTGAGCTATTCAAGTTCACAAGGAAAATATGAGTTACGTTTCAGATCCTGTTTTAATTTCAACATGCAGCAATCAGGTCATGATACTTATACACTTACAAAAATGTTCCTGTATAACAAGCTGGAAAACCTGACCAACCATGACCCAAATGTTTTTAAGGGTGAGTCTGTAACCGTCACTTTAACCAGTGGCAAACACGATTACAACTCTAACCTCCTAAGAACGTAAAATATGGTGATATTCAAGTGCCATGTGAACAAGAGAGCTCCTGTTCAGTCAAAGAAGAACATTTCTATTGCTGTGTAGTACAGCTCTGCTCTAATGACAGAGCATCCTTTAAAACCCAGATGAACCAGTGATCCAGTCAATGGGCTTCTTGTCATGATTATTTCATGTTGGCATTACAAAGAAGGAGCGCGGCTGCAGAGCGACAGGGCAGAGAGAGGCATGAATAATGACAGTACCCTGAGGCCTCCCAACGTTGGCTCTGTGATGTTTTTATTGCATGGCAATCAATGGGGATGAAATATGCAGGAGCCAAGCAAACAGCTGGAGGCACCAAGGAGAACTTGATATTCAATAGAAGTGCTAGCTGTTCAATACAGTATCACAGCACCACAATATACATACTGTATCTTATTATATAATTTAAACAGTTTCATCCCTCTATTTGTGAAAACATTTCACAGAAGTCCAAATTTTCTTTAAAAGTTTCTGACCACGCGGGTTATCAAGCAAAGCTCTAAATTTCAAAGTTACAGCCAGCATTCAGTAGAAAGCCTCTGCAATGCTGAGCAAATTTACACCCATTAATTAAAATGCACGACAAATTACCTCCAGTGGTTGACAAATAGTAAATACGTCATCCTCTTCGTGGACTGAAATGGCTCGCGAAAAACGTTTCATCAAACGGATCACTGCCATCGTCCCTGTTTAGTATTTTGAGTGATTTGATTGAAGCTGTCAGTCTGCTTTACTGCATGCAGCGTGCAACACTGGTGACTGTTCTGTGGTCTTCCTGCATAATGCTGCACAAACATGTGATTTAGTGCATGGATCTGTGAAAGGGGAAGTCCTGGTAGTCAATCGACCGTTAAAAAGCCACAGAGGTGGTCGCCCACTTCAGTTTTGGCCACGAAAAACACAGTTTCCTCAAGGCTGCTCGGAAATTTAAGCTTAAGTGGAAAAAAAAGACAACTCTGCGAATTCAACAAAGCAGTGTTGTTTTGTTTTTTCTACTAGCAGTACAGCAACAAGCCACATGCGATCCATGCATGTAATATAGGTTAAAAAAAGGCTATTTTCCTTGATACACAGCAACTATCATGTCTCAGTGCCTTAAGTGCATTTATTTTGTTTCATTTGTTTAATTGAAGCTGGATCAAACATTAACTTCACTGCACTTTGGCAGGCCAGAGTCTTCTTTGTTATTATAGGCTTTTGCAATCGAATGAAGGAGGATATTTAGATGATGGTGATTTTTGTCATTTCTGATTATATGTGATATACATCCACATCCTTTTACTGCTATTACCTCCATGTAAATGACTATATGCGTCCTCCATCAAATCTGTGCAGGACAAGTAGACACTTTATTATATTGTATTACTGCCAGACCAAAGGGTTGTATTTTTAAAAGAGATAAGAAGATGAAGATGAGTTTGTTTTTGTATCAATTCTGTAAAAACACAAGAATAAAAATCCCCTTCATGCCTGTACTAATCTGACCATCTCAGCAGTACAGAAAAGCTGTATATGCTCTATCAAATAGACCCCTATTATGTAACTAAAGTCTTTACTGCCAGGTTGGCTCATTAAAAATGCACAGGGAGTCTCTTAACTCTGTTAAAGCAGCAGTATATCCCTGAGCAGCTGGTGCTGGACATCTGGTGTTATCAGACTGACCAGCTAATCAATACGGAGCTCTGAAGCCACTGAACATTAAGCGGTTGACCTCTCAGTATGAGGAAGCTGCTCTCTTTGTCAGTACACTGTGATTTAAGTACAGGTTGCAATGGAGTCAGGTGTCAGCGCCTACGCACATTTTCTGCACAGGGATTCCTGCAGTAAAATATCCGAAATAAAGTGCTCGCTGTGACATTTTTATGAAGCATAAAATTAGGAGGTTGTGTATTTATGAGTAACCCTAGTGTTTAAAGTGCTATCTTATAATACAGACAATAAGAGGAGAGCTTGTAGAATGCATCCGATGCAGCTCAGTGGGTGAACAGCTGATTAAGTTTGCTTTGCCACAATAAATCTGAGCCACTTGCGAGTCAATGACAGGAACACAGAAAACCTCTACAGTTTACAAGCTGGTAAAAGTGGAAACAAGTGTGGCCTTTGTAGTTATTGCAGGTGGGCTGTGAGAAGTATTTTAGAACAAATGATAAACATTTTTAATGTTTAATACTTTAATTCTGTCTGAAATGACCATGAACATTTATGATTAAATAAATTAAAGTAAAACAAAAATAAGGAATCATGGGAAATTAAGCAGGCAAATTAAATTAAGAAGAAAGAACCCATTTTAGTGTGCAGCACTCCTGAGTTTGGAAATGCTACACTATCAGAAACATTTAACGATGTTTTATGTTCTTCCTTGTGGAGGAAAATCAAATATTTCCCAAAACAAATATTTCAAAATATGACTGTGGTCATTTTCAGAGACGGCACGAACAGAAATCATTAAGAAACCAAACTGTGGGAAGAAAGAGGGCGATCGTGGCTCAAGATTTGGGAGTTCGCCTTGTAATCGGAAGGTTGCTGGTCCCCGGCTTGGACAGTCTCGGTTGTTGTGTCCTTAGACAAGACACTTCACCCGTTGCCTACTGGTGGTGGTCAGAGGGCCCGGTGGCGCCAGTGTCCGGCAGCCTCGCCTCTGTCAGTGCGCCCCAGGATGACTGTGGCTACAATGTAGCTTGCCATCACCAGTGTGTGAATGTGTGCGTGAATGGGTGAATCACTGGATGTGTAAAGCACTTTGGGGTCCTTAGGGACTAGTAAAGCGATATACAAATACAGGCCATTTTACACAGAGCCGATGATTACACAGGCTGACCAAACCACAGTTCCACCAGAAGTTAAGTACAACCACAACACCCGGTGTACAGGCCACAGTCTGAGCCTGAGGGTTCACTACACAGCAGCAGCAGCCAATTAACAGTTCTGATTGCAGCTCAGCATCTTAATTTCCTATTATAGGCCAGAACACCGCTTAATGGGTGGAGAAACGAAAGGGACTCTGAGTGATGCTGCCAGTTCTAAATGTACAGTCTTATCAGCACAGCCTGCAGTCTGAATAATAACCACCCGGCCCAGTGTTATTCAGCTCAGAGATAAACCGCATCAGGACCAGTAAAAACAGAAGAACCTAAGACTCCGCTTCAGGCAGTGAATCCATCAGCGCTAACACTGGAGAGAACTGGCTGCAGATGCTTTGGCATCACACTGTTTATATTTAGACTCGTCTCCTGAGAGATTCAGAGCAGTGTGTTCATTTTATGCAAAGTTATCCTGGTTCTCGTAAATTTGGGGTCAACTGTAAAACTGCTCAGCTGCTTTTCAAAAATAAATGTCTGGTGAAGTTAGTTTCAATGCTCAATTCTGTTGTTTGTAGTCAAATCATTTCAGCAACACTCTGAAAACAGATCAATGTGCAACACTGTGATCATGACTACAAACTGATGGTTTTTTATATATATATAAATTAGTATATTATATACCACAATTATACAGTGGTGAAATGTATCATTAGTTTCAGCCGTTTATGAATTTTTTTGTAATATTCACCATTCTGTTTCCACAGTTGCGGAAACACAGATAATCAAAGGTTAAGGTCGCACCGTCCTTTAGGTGGCAGTCTGACAACAAAGTTAAACCTAAAGAGACGTAGCAGTGATGCAGGAGGAATAGGAGGCAGAGGTGTGTCTGTCCACGTTTACCTCTTCTATTTGACACAGATGAACCTGCTCTGCCACATACCTGCAGGGATATGGGCCATGCAAACACAAACACACACAGGTACTTTGATGTGAATCAAGTGTGCGCGCTTGACTAGTGTGCATACATACAAGTGTGCACATGCACAATCATGCCCACAAAAACAAAAATAGACAGGCCGGCCCTTTCCCTCTTCTACTTCCTTGTCCATTCAGTTTTTTAGTTTCACTGGAGGGGGTTTTCACTGCAGTGCTTTACATGGTCAGGTTGGGTGGTTACAGTGTATTGCATAATGTAGTTGGAAGGGTTTTATAACATTTCTTTTTGCACTAA